TGCTCTGCGACTTCTTACTTCCGGTGATATTGTTTCTCTTTTTTGGTATGTTTGACTCTGCTGCCTACGCGCTGTGCTAAGTTCGCCTTATTAATTCTTGTTGCTTTTTTCCACTATTTCACATGCTAAGCCAACTACAATCAGGCGCAACTATTCTGCTGCAATTCACTTGATCATGTGGTTGTTGGTTTTGTTAATATATATGTAGCTCAATAAAAATTGTTGAAACAAATTTTTAAGCCCTTAAAATAACAAAAAAACAAATAACTTAAAGACGAGCACACCTAAAAAGTTAAACATTCTAATATTAGAAATATTAACAAAAACCGACAAAACCAACAACCACATGATCAAGTGAATTGCAACGGAATAGCTGCGCTGGATTGTAGTTGGCTTAGCATGTGAAATAGTGGAAATAAGCAACAAGAATTAACAAGGCGAACTTAGCTCAGCGCGTAGGCAGCTGGCTGAGTAAGTGGGATCGTCGGTGCGAATCCTACTCAAAGAAGTCTGATGAGGAAATGTGGTGATTTCCGAAATAGCTATCACTTCTACAATTTTTTCAAATTATTGTTGCATTTCCACAATAAGTTTTCATTAAAAAAAACGGCCTCGAGCTCAATAAAAATTGTTGAATTTAATTGTTATAAGGCCATAAATAACAAAAACAAATAACTTAAGGATGAGCACACATAAAATTTAAACATTCTAACAATAGAAAATATTAACAAAAACCAACAACCACACGATCAAGTGAATTGCAGTGGAATAGCTGCGCTTGATTATAGTTGGCTTAGCAAAGTGAAATAGTGGAAAATAAGCAACAAGAATTAACAAGGCGAACTCAGCACAGTGCGTAGGCAACTGGCTGAGTTAGTGGGATCGTCGGTTCGAATCCTACTGAAAGAAGTCTGATGAAGAAATGTGGTGATTTCCGAAATAGCTATCACTTCTACAATTTTTTCAAATTATTGTTGCTATTCCACAATAAGTTTTCATTAAAAAAAAATCTCCTCGAGCTCAATAAAAATTGTTGAATATAAAAGTTACCAAGTCGAAAACAACGTTTAATTATATCGTTTATCGTTTATTTGCCATAAATAAGACATGGGTACAATAAATAGTTTTGTTAAAAGAGAACTATAGAAATTCATTTAACAAAATTTTTTTAGTAATATGAGAAAGAAGGATCTATAAAAAATAGATGCGGTATTTTACTAGAAAATTAATTGCACCTACGTGATGCTGCATATTATAGTAAAAAAGCTTAAAGGGAGTGCCTCGGGCTATTATCGTTTCAATTCTGGTAAAGCATTTTAAGGTGCACCTCAACTTTGTTTGAAATGTCAATTAAGCTACTCTAGCGCTCAAGGCCTCATATAATAACTAGATACATTCACATATATAAATAAATAAATTCTTATTCAATCTCCGTATATGTACGTGTAAAAAGAATATAAAAAAAAATTGTGAAACAAAAAACAACACATAAATATTTTTGCAACGCACGCGTTTAAAAATATAATAATATTGATAATAGATTGATGGCACATATGTTAGTGTTTGGCCGAGCTTCTCCTCCGATTTGTGGCGTGCGGCTTGATGTTGTCGCCCACTCAGAACAGCGATTGTATTTTTATGAGAAGCTGTTTTTTATGGCAGAAATACACTCGGAGGTTTGCCATTGCCTGCCGAGGGACGACCGCTGTTAAGAAAAAACCTTTTTCTATATTTTTTGCGATGTTGCTTTTACCAGGGCTTGAACCCAGGCGTTGCGGAGTTGAAGCGCGCACTGCTTACCACTACACCACAGCGGCCGGAAAATATACTTTTCATAAAAACGCGCTTTAAGCTATTGTATTTTGAACGGGATCTTAGCCGCAGAACAAAAAAAATATTTAAAAGCTCGACTTAAATGCATATACCGAAACGCTAAAGCGCCTAAATACACCGCACTTACTGCTGTTCAAACCTCCTACTTTCATATTCTCTATATATGGATGAAAGATCTATCAATAAGTATTGAACGTGTGGCATATTTCGTGATATCAATAGCATGCATTTTGTGGCATCACCATACATATAGTACAAATTATAGATGATTTTCTATAAAATAACATTAAGATAAGATTCTTAGGCTTCATCATTGGACTTTAAACTTCTCGACACAAAAACATGTAAATAGTGATGCGATAAATATTGAAAATATAGCATTCCGATCGCGATCCACCACTATTTTGAAATCCATCAATATGGATCACGATCCAAATATCACAATAAATATTGAACGTGTGACAGGCGCCCCACACTGTGATAAATTAACGAGTAGACTGCCCAGCGATAATTTTCTTCGATATGTAGTTAGTTATTTTTGCTGAGCGATGTGTTGCCTGATCAACGCAATTGTCTCTAGTAGTGTTGTCACCGCTACACACAACCACAGTGCAATTTATCAAATTAATCCAACTTTTTTAGTCTGACTTTATACACGGCAAACGTACCAAAATTACCAAAATAAAAAAAGTTGCCAAGTTACAAAGGACTCAAAAAGTTACCTATTTTGGTTACAAGTGACCAAATGTGGTAGCCGTGTTGGCAACATACCAGTCAGTCAGCACGGAGCTGTGGTCGTGAACGCACAGCTATTAGTGAGGAGCTCTTGCCTTGTACACTGTTCGCAATACAAGGCTTGGCTGTTCAAAGGTAGAGTGCCGCCGCCCCACAGTCAACCGTGAGCCCGCGTGACGGCGACGGCCGTTCGCCCAACAGTAGAGCCCCGGCCGGGTAGCGCCGGCAACGCACAGCTACTAGTGAAGGGCCTTTGACTTGTACACTGTTCGCAATACCAGGCTTGGCCATTCAGGGGTTGAGTGCCGCCACACCTCAGTCCACCGCAAGCCCGCGTAACGGCGACGTCGCATAGTAGCAGTAGCGTCGACATCGCATAGTAGCAGAGCGCCGATGTCGCGTAGCAGTAGAGCGCCGACGCCGTCCACTAGCAGAGCGCTGACAGAGTTGCGCCGACGTCGCGTAGCAGCACAGCGCCGACACCGTACCGCCGACGTCGCATAGTAGCAGTAGCGTGGATGTCGCATAGGAGCGGCGCGCTGGGAATCCACCGTTAGGAATTCATACTCGTATTGGCCCGTAGTTATAGTCGAAAGTTAAAACCTCTTCTAGTTAAAATTAATCTTTAACTTTAGAGCAGGCTTTAAGTTTTAGTCATTTATAGACATGTTAGAGGAAGGTTTTCGCTAGATTGACACAAAACAGGGCCATTGATATAAAATGAAAAAAGTAACCAATCGGCATTAGGAAAACTTTGTTATTTTAGCAAGTTCACCCTGTGTCAACTGACTTTTATAAATAATTTTGAAAATGGCGCAGCAAACTGTAAGTAAATAACAAATTTTTGTAAAATATAATTTATTAACATAAATAATTTAATTTTTATAGGAAGTGAAAAGAGTTCGTGAAGTTAATTGCTTGCGGTCCTCCTCTTTCAATTGAAAAGGATCTTGGCGTTCCTTGTATGTTTTCCTATTTCTGGTTGCGATCGTATCATCCAAAATCGCAAACTCTCGAAATATCCTTTGATTTGGAAGCATATTCTTCAAATTAAAACCACTTTTGTATTTTTTCCGCAAATTTTGATAGGAGAACGTCTACTTAAGATTTTAAAACCTCGTCAACCTCATTTTAAATTTAAAACGCCGTTATAAAGTTAAAAGGTCTTTTAAGTTGACTATGAAAGTGTTAAATGAGTGTTTATCTTAATATACAGTTTTAAATGTTAAAACCTGCCTCTAACTTGTCTATAACTACGGGCCATTATGTTCATAGAAATTAAGTAGTAACACGTTTTTTTAGAGGATAAGAAATAAGTAAATAAATTACTATTTTCAAAGGCCCCACAATATAAATTTATTGTAACGGACCCTGGGCACGGCGAGTATACCTCAGCATAGAAAACAGAAGCGTCGGGGCCTTCACAGAAAAAAGCTTGGTTTCATTTTTTATCGTAGTTATTATTCTGTTGACATCTAAATTGCCAAACATTTTATGTCGTTGCCAATACATTGTTTTCCGGTGTTTCTACTGTGAATTTGTATAACTATATTCATAAAAATATTACTAATTTTGGTTTATAATTTTTTTTTCCATCTTGTTATTGCTGAATATCAAAAAGGAATTAATAAATAATGAAAAGTTAGTTACAATTTTAGTAATGGTCCTTGCAAATAATAGTATTTTGTGCCCATCAGCCTGATTACCCCGACTACTAATCTGAGGGAGAAGCGGTCCAGACGGGTAAGAGCTATGGATCCCTTTACACCAATCTTTGGCTATATTTTCCTGGTAGTTCGGTAGGTGGTTTCCACGGCCCATCTTATATTTACCTCCTCAACGGGTTCCGCCTTTAGTCTGTGTTTGCAGGAGGTTAGAGGTATGCCCGCATTCTAAGCAGAATTGGCTTCAGATATTTCCGTCCCTCTCCTTGCCAGCTCGTCGGCTAGGGAGTTACCAGAAATGTACCCATGTCCAGGGACCCATACAACAGTCAAGGAGCATTTTGATACCAGCAGGTTGAGAGTCTTCCTGCATTCTCTGGCTACTTTGGACGTTGTTTCGTTAGAATTGGGAGATTTGATAGCAGCCTGGCTGTTAGAATAGATAGCAGTAGGCCGTTCTGGAGGGTCGAAGGTTATAAGCCTCCATTATGGCGTTTTGAAAAATTAATGCTTGAAAAACGCTACAATGGTTCGATAAGCGAAAACTGAGGTCTAGCGCGAGTTCGTTAGAGTAGATCCGGCTACCCACTCTTTTGTTAAGCTAGGAACCATCTGTATATATGGCCTTGAATCCTGTGTTCAGGTCTGTGGGCCTTTCCCTCTCGTCCCTCTCTAGGATTCTTGCGGTGAGTTCTTTGTATAAACAGAGTACAGGAGTGATAAAATCTATCTGTCGTAGATTATCCGGTAGAGTTTCAAGTACTTTGCTTGTCCGAAGATTAAACATTATTTCCAGAGATTTGGTGGATGTAGTGGGCAGTGCTATCGTGCATGGGATGGCAGCCGTCCTATGCACACGTTCCACCTTAGGAGATTAGACTAGACTGGAACAAGATAATAAATAATGATAAAGTCAGTGTGAAACATATTAACTAGATACCACAAAATCAGAAAAGCAGTAAAATTTAAAATTTAATTAGTAAATACTCGTATTTTTTTCGACCAATACGAGAAAAATTAAAGACTTGCAAGCTCGTTTGTGTAAAGTCAAACGGCGCATAATATATAACCCCAATTCATATTATTATTTCGTAAACTCCAAGCGTAATGTACATGAATTTCCGTCCGCCATGAGGTATCAAAATGCCGTCTCTAGTGATAATAAAATAATTTCTAACTTGTTCGCTCAGCTTTTCAAATCCAATTATTCCATTAACTCACATGCTAACATTTACTATCCTTTTAAACTATGTCCAATTAACTCAATAAATATCCCAGTAATATGTCCCGATGGTGTAGTTGTTTATCTGAAATCCTTAAAGGAGTCCTTTAGTTATGGTCCTGACCAGATCCCTTCTTGTTTTCTTACAAATTATGCTGATTATCTCTATGATAGAGGTGGAGAAACATCGATGTTTGCTACCATAGACGTTTTCGACGTTTTAAAGCAAAACATCGATGTAACATCGATTGTTATTAAAAAATAGGGCGTTTGAAGGCAATATTAAGTTTGTACTTAAAGTTAGTTGTAGCGTTTTTGACAGATATCCCATTAAAAATTACGGCAAAAAGCCGCAAGTAGCTTTAAATATGAACTTAATTTTGACTATGATTACGCCGAATAAGTTTTTACAAATAAAATAAATCAAACGGACCATTTGTGGAGCTATTTCTTTCCATGAAAGTAATATATATGCATTCCAAATATGAACCTAATCGGACCATAAATACGGGTTTTTAAAACATCTCTAAACCTGCGCCACCTAGTGGATTAATTCGTCTTTCATTGTCATCGGGTCTTTAGCTCATCGGGAAGTTGGTTGGAATTGATAGCAAAATTCCAGGATATATGTGTATGTAAGTGATGTTAAATTAAAGCTTGTAAAAACGTAACATTTTCTTCACTGGGGTTAACATAAAAATATTAAAAGGAGAACGGCGACCGCGGTGCTGTAGTGGTTAGCAGTGCGCGTTGGTGACAGGTAATAAGATCAACGGCAATAAGGTCAATTGACTTTATTTCCCACCCTGGTGCGAAATAAAGTCAACTGACATTATTACCTTTTTAAAAACGAAATAAAATCCATTGACATTATTTCTCATTCAAACATTAAATTTGTTTAGTTTCGCGGCGGCCCGCGACAGCGCGCTACACGGCGGGCGCCGCGCTCGCGCCCCGTGTACCCCGCGCGACCGGCGCGCGCACTACGTCACGCTACGCCGCGGCCCCCCGGCCCCCATTCCCCGTCTCCCGCCGTGCTGTAACGCAGGTAGATTTATTTTTTGTATACGTTGAAATAAAATTTTTATATATTTTAAACATCGAGGGCTTATATTCAATAAAATACCCTCTATCTGCTAACTTTTCACAAAGATGAGATTCTGATATAAAAATCCACCTAAGATTTAACCGTCATCTGTGATATTAATGCTACCTTATATAACGACAGGTAATAAAACCCAGATGGTTTCTAAAATCACAATTTAGTTTTGGTGCAAATTGCAGATATATGGTATTAATGAATTCAAGCCCTCGATATTTCACATTTTTATATTTGTAAGTTATTAGAAGCAGGGATGCCAACTTGGCTCAAACCGTGCCATTTACTTCAAATGGCACTTAATTTTTCAATTTGGCACAAAGTGCCAAAATGGTACTTTTGTAAAAAAATTACATTCCAATACATTTTTGTGAAATCCTTTGCGTGCGCTTCTTTTTCTCAACTAAAATCTTCTAATTTATAAAGGCTATTCAACTGGTTTACCTTATTTTATCAAAGCACTTTTGTTTGGAAAATGTAGCTTTATTTTATTGCTAAATGTGAATAATTAAAAGGAATGACACCTTTTTGCCACTTTCACTTTTCTATTTGGCACATTTTGGCCCTTTTTTATCCTCAATATGGCACCTCATAACTAAGGATATTTGGCAGCCCTGATTGGAAGATTTCTGCTGTGTTTTGGGGCAACAACTTGTCTTCAGTAAAAAATCATATAATTTGTTTCTCAAAAGTGTGTGAAAACCAATCAATTCATTTATATGATCTCGGTTCCGATATTAAATAATCAATAATTGTTTATACCCGCATTTTGGCACATTGCCAAGTGCCATCTAGTAAATAGTGTCGTCATTCTCCTTAGCTGCTTGTAAATGATGTCGTCACAAATCGCTGGCGGAGACATGAATACAGTGTAAGAAAATTCTTTTTCCATAATTGTTTCCTTATAGAAAAGTTGGTTTCTTTTCCACCTTAGACATTCCGAATTCGTTCAAAATATGCTAATTTAAAACACAGAATTCTTTCAGTGTTCCTCCGGGGTTTTTGGACATGGACTGTTTCTTCAATTTAATAGTGTTCGCTTTATTTTTGTGGAAACGAAACATGTTTTGCAACGTATGGATCATTTCTACACTCTTTCTTCAAATATTTCTCGTATTCCAGCTGTGCGCATTTAGTTTTTCGCATCGTGTTTTTACATATTCGTAATTTAAATTTTTTTAATAAAATCAAATGGTGGTAGTTCATGATTGTATGTGGATTAATATCACAACACTGAGGATTTGGCAATAACCCTTTTCATCTATTAAAAAACAACACTTACGGGGCAATGTTTATTGTAAGAACAACATTTTTTTCTATGAATCGACATACTTTGGCTGCGTTTCTTTATACATTCCGGATAATCCCATTTCACAGCCGGAATAAACAGAATGCTTTTGAAATATACGTTAACATATCATCAGGAACGTTCTAAAGAATAAGTAAACAAAAAAGTTTATTCCAAACGTTCAGAATGAATAAAGAAATTCAGCCTTTAAGTATTGTTGACGCTATTTCCATTTGAATGAGGAAATAGCGTCAATGACTTTATTT